ACCCATGAGGTAGCCGGAGGATGTCGGGCCTAGATATTGAGCTCAACATTATGTAATTTATTTATATAATAATCTTAATAAAGGATCACCGGCAAGGTTGCCAAAGATTAAAAAAAAAAAAAAAAAAAATAACTAATAATAAAACGTAATATAAATATATTGATACAAATGCTCCGGCGATCATGTAGTTGCCCGGAAATCAAACCAAACGATCCAACAATCATTAATAATATCATCAATTAATTAAATAAACATCGGAGTAATTATCATTATTTTATTACAGCCCTATAAAAAAATTAGCCGAAAAATTTTTCGGCCGGTAATTTTTTCAGCATAATAAATTCATAATATATAAGTAATTTAAAATCAGGTGGCTAATATAAATAAAAAATTATGCACATTTCTTGTTGAATACAAAAAATATGATATTTTTCAAGCCACATTCACTACTATAAATTAGAATTCTTCCATTAATTGGAAGGTGCTAATAATATCACTTCAACTACTCTTGAGTTCCCCGATACTTAACCACAAACTTGTTTTGATATTCTGGATTCTAGCCTAGTACCACTCGTTGCTAATCCTCCATCACAAAATGCCACTCAATTCATTTTAAATATTACTTATGGTGTTACAGTTAAGAGAGAGACTTTAGATTTTCGTAGCCAATTTAGCAGAAGACTGTAAACAATGAACTAACGAATTTATTGTCACAAAAAACACCAGAAAGTACAAACAAATATTCCTATATTGTGTCCCAGACACTCTTCGATACTAATACCCTTATTTTTCTAGCTACTTAGCAAGTTCCAAACTTACTAAGAGCACAACACAAATAACCCGAAAGATAAAAATCTACTAAAAACTAAAAGAAAATCTAACTAAACTAAAATACATATAACTCTATATATATACATGAATAAGCTTTAAAATAAACTATGTACCATTTAAAGTCTAATTAAAGTATACTTTATACTTCTCTTAAACTATTAAATATTATACTAAAGTATATAGTAGTCAAGCGAAAGCCCAAATTCAGATGACCATGGAATCTTCTTTATGAATGGAAATAGTTTTCAACCAAACTTTAGTAACTCTACATTAAATCAAGTGACTTCTGGTGTTAGTCCACAAAGTTTACCTGCAAATCAGAATATAATCTTTTATGATACTGCTAATGCTGGTATTGAATTGGTTTTCGTTAACAATATCCATTCTTTCCATTTGGTATACATTTATTTTTCATCTATAGTTATCATCTATAGTTATCGTTTATGGTTATCGTCTATGGTTATCGTCTATAATTATTAATTTAATTTTTAATTTCAATTTATATAGCACGGTCACTCTTTCTATGTCGTTGAAAGGGGTAATGGTACTACACCAGATTCAAGCGCTTATAATTTAGTTAATCCACCATATCGTGATACTGTAACGATACCACCAACTGGATAAATTATCTTTTTATTTTTTTCTGAAATATAGGCAGGCAGTATCAGATATTACCACGTGATATTTGGTGATATCCGGTAGTAATTGCCTTCATTTTTCTTCTTTTATATTATCATCATTCTAACTTCTTTTTCACATTAAATAGATAGTTAGTAATATGATTCATCTGACAATCCATGTATATGAGTAGTACATTGTTTTATAGAATGGCATGTTGAGATGGGTATGGTTGTAACGCTTGTTAAACGACTTAACGAATTAAAACAACTTCCTATACTAGACAACGTTAAACAATTACTTTACAAAAATCTGTCAAAATTAAACTTGCTAAATATAAGCAATTTAACGGTGCTGATAATGTACTATTAAAATACAAATTTGTGCAAATATAAGCACATTATTAGCATTTTATTACTATATTTTAATTTTATAAATATATTTGTCAATTATCATGCTGATACAATTCTAATATTAGCAAAATATTATCAATCTTATTAGTAATAATAAGGGCCCAAAATTTACCATTATTTAACTAATTTATTAGGTATTTAAAGGTGCTGATAATGAAATAATCTTGTAATAAATTATTAAAATTGCTAACTTAGTACTAATAATGCACTAAATATTGCTTATTATTTGCAAGTAATTGCATATCTCGAAATTATCAGATTTTTGTAAAGAGGTATTATATTTATTATGGTAATTTTTGAAATTGGAACAACGATGTAATTTAGACGTAGATATTATATCAATATTACAGTAAATAAAAATTGAACGAACTCAAAAATATATTTAATTTATAACGTAGACATTATTATATCAATATTACAGTAAATTAAAATTGAACGAATTCAAAAATATAATTTTTATTGAATTTATTATTGCTAGACTATTTATACAACTTTATTTATTCATATATAAATTGTATATTGGGAATAAACATATAGGAATATGGTTCGCTTCGGCATTTGTTAGCATTTGTTAGCATTCTCTTGACAACAACATAGTCAAATAAACCTTTCATTTGTGGAACTACCTAAACCCACTCCCAAACAACATCCCTTCAAACATCACATTAAAACCCATAAATCGACTGTCTGCATCATTCTTCATGCACATTTGCCGGCATATTATTGCTTGTATAGTGAATAAAGAGTATCGTTAGTTGTATACAGTTCATATTTGATGCTTAGTAATGGGACTATGCAACAGGACTCCTGAATACATTTATATCACACTATTTTTTTTACATCACCTTTGGTTGTACACTTAATAACACAATAGCGTTACCAGACCAAAAAATTTCATTACCAGTATTAGTGTTAGAATTTGTGTGCATGTATTTGTTCTGATTTTAGATTACTCTTGATCTCAAAATTAATCTTATCAAATCACAAAATCTTTTAAATTAGTAATACTCAAACAGTTACGTTATCATAAAAAATAGTATGTACGTAGCTCCCAACTTATATATGACTTCTAGTAGATATGTCGAAC